CCCCAGGCGCAGGACCCTACACTTGCCCTTGCTGAAACTCATTAGGTTCCTCTCTGCCAGCTCTCCAGCCTGTCCAGGTCTCGCTGAATGGCAGCACAGCCTTCTGGCGTGTCAGCCACTCCTCCCAGTTTTGTGCCATCAGCAAATTTGCTGAGGGTGCGCTCTGTCCCTTCATCCAGGTCACTGATGAATATGTTGAACAAGAGTGGTGAACAAGACAATACTTTCAATCCTTTTCTTGTGATCTCGTTTTCCATTCTAAATATAAAACTAAAATGGTAAAGCTAGTACAAGGTTTCAAATTAGTAATGTAATCTTTTCTTCTTTTCGGTGCTTTTTCTGTTACAGGAAGTGTTGTGGGACTTAAAGGCAACGCTGGTCAAAGCGTATACAGTGCAACCAAAGCAGGATTAGTTGGATTTTCACGCTCTCTTGCTAAAGAAGTAGCAAAAAAGCAAATTCGAGTCAACGTGGTTGCTCCAGGTTAGTTTATAGGAAGTTCCTACATCCTTGACTATTGCAATACATAGTCATCAAGACCACTGGATGTTTACTGTACTCTGAAAGTAACTTAAGACAAATTGTTAGTTTCTTCAACTTTTATAAGTAAATGTTTTTAATCTCTTTTTTTTTTTTTCAGTTTAAAATATAATGCATTCTTTTACAAAACCTTCAGTCTTTTTAAGAATACTGAAAAATTTGGAAGAGCATGTCTACCTGTTCCTTTATCCCTTACTACATAATAAATGCCTTTTATTCCTTTCTTTGTCCTTCAAAACCTGCTGTCCTTGCAGATGGAAGGATTAGGACTAATTATATACAGACAGCTACACTACCTCCTGCTAGAGAATGCTTGTTACTAGAAAAACATGAAAGACCACGAGAAGCTGGCATGAAAACATCTCTGTTCCTGTAGTAAAGGGGAGAGTCTGGAAGGAAAGTTCTGTGAGGACAAGGCTTTGATTTCACAAGACCATCTAGTCCAAGCAAACCACCACCCTTAAGGAAAAATCCTTCTGTCTTTTCTGACCTTTTCTACTTGTAGTTGTGCACTCTACCGCTCACCTTGTGCTGGCTCTAAAGCCTTGTCAGACCTCTACATGAACCAGTTCAGCTTGTGAACTAGGCAGGAAAAAGACTTTTCATTGTTTAGTGAGTTGGGCAGCTCCCTGAAGGGCCCAGTGCCGTCATAAAGGGGCACAGCTGTGCAGTAGAAAGCAAAACAGACTTTCCCTTCTCAGTGGCAGGTAGGAATCAGGTCAGATCAGCTCTTTATGAAGCTGCAGCTTTTGTGAGGAGCAGTTCAGCAGTGGGAAAACTGAATCTTAGAGAGCTGAAAATTGTAAAGGAATGTCTTTCAAGATTGGCAAGAAATATTCTTTGAATTAGTGCTATAATAGAAATTATGTAAGTGCTGTCAAAAGTTCTAAAATAGAATGGAAACTCTTGCAAGCTGTAGGGGCTTCTTACCAGAGATTTTATACTCCTGTTTTTATTGAGAATGTTTCGGTGAAATGACCTTATTTTGTCTTTCAGAAAAGTGATACTAAATATGGGTTTGGGGCCAAATTTCAGAATTACTTTTTTTTTCCCCCCCATAGACTTGTACAGATCTCTGCATTTTTATGATTACATCAGTGCTTCCAAAACCAGAAGACATTTTATCGGTTAGGTAAAAATTTGTTCTCAGCTATTAAATGATGTGGACTGACTTCTGAGGCTTTGAAGGATGGCAGCCGGAGCTGAATCCTGGTGGTGGATTTCACTCTGGAGGATTCCAGAGAAAATCTGCTAGAGAGATGTAGCTGATGGTTAGGTAACTTTTCAAATGTCTCTCCTTTCTTAGGCTTTATTCACACAGAGATGACTGCTCATTTGGAAGAAGATCAGTTGAAAAAAGGAATTCTCCTTGGAAGATTTGGGGAGCCTCACGAAGTTGCACAAGCTGTTGTCTTTCTCCTAGAGTCCCCGTATGTTACAGGAAGTACTTTAGTTGTAGATGGAGGCTTGCAGCTTATGACTTAACTGCTACCTTGAACAAGTCCCTACTTAAATGTCATGATGGTAACATATAAATAGATAGTAATTAAAGGGCGGGGGGTGTGGAAATTAGTTGAAGATTAATGTACGTAATTGACTTGATATTCTTTCGTCAGAGGGGAAGTTCAGCAGCAGTGAGTTCCGGCATGTGTAGCTACCTGAAAAGAGTCCGTTTGGTATTCTGACGTCTGTGTATGTAACAGTTTGAAAAAGGTCTGGTTTTGGTATTGTGATAGTTTTAAATAACATGCAGATACATTTTTGAAGCACTGTATTTTTAGAAAATCATGTTGTCCAATTTGGGATAGGGTGGAGATTTTATTCGAATTACCATGTTACACAAAGGTTGTTAAAGAGTGGAGGCATGTTTATTGGTTGGCAGGTATGACTGCATCACGTTTTTCATGTAGAGTGAAGATTACAAACTGTATGATTTTTTTATTCTTATCAGTTAGTCCCTACAAAGTGGCAAGGAGTTTCCCTTAGGTTTTGTTTGTTTTAGCCAACCCTACAAAGCTAGGAGCTTCTGTATCTTCAGCATACCTGAATTGCCTTCAGGAGATCTAATTACATGCAATGTGTTTTTATAAAGACAAAACCTGCTCAGTCCTATTCTGGAGTGTGTGTACAGCAGCACGTGCGTGGGTGTATAGAAGGGCTGTTGGTTGGTCACTGGAGTTGCTAATTCTGTATGAATCCAAGTTTGAGCTGCACATGCACCGGTGAACAGCACAGTTGCAGGACTTGCTGCATAAAAGACTTTTCACTGACTCAGCAGATGTTTAGAAAAAACGTCTCATTTCCAGAGCATGAAGCCAAAGTGCATCGCTGTAAATCGTCTTGAACGCTCGGTTCAGCCTTGTTACGGTGATGCTCTTTAATATGTCTGTAGAGTCAATAAAATCACCATTTGTTTTATTCAAAGCAGCTTTTGAAGCAGAGTCGTCGTTCAGCTGTAAATGATCCTGAGCATTCTTCTCATGCTGAAAAATTACCAAAAATTTGACCTCGGGCTTTTCTATTGAGATCAAGTAATTTTTGATAATTGATGTTTTTATCATCTCTGAAGAAAACTATGGAAGTGGTTTAGGACCTGCACGTCTTAGCGCCGGTGTTCATTGCATCATGATCCAGATGTTGATTCAGCTTTTGAAATTGCTTCCCATCTTGGCACAAACCGGAGTACAGAAAGAAGAGATCTCACTGATGATAACTCTGAGTCTTTAAAGTCTGAGATTTTCTTCATTTGTGCAGCAGAGAAATGTTGTCTTTGTGCCAGAAGACACTGCGTGTTCAAGCTTCTCGCAGGTATGTATGAGAAATAATGCAAGGAATGGTGGTGTGTTCAGGGGGTTTTACAGTTGGTTTTGTTACTCACTTTGGGGTATAAAATACTGTTAAAGTCATCCTTTCAGGAATCTTTTCTTACTGTTATCTCTTTGCAAAGAGATGCTGTTATTTGCTGTGAAAAGTTATGTGTCATGTGTGTCTTTGCACCAAAAGTGTAATTGCTAGTTGTGTTTCCCTTTGATAGGAGGAATTGGCTAGAGAATAGATGAATTTTTTCTGAGGGCACTGGAGGTAAGGAAGGACAGCTGGTACTCCCATTTTTACTAGTCAAGTAGTTATGTGTCAGTAACTTGGCTGCTGCCCACGCCTGTCCTTAGGATTTTACCGGCAAAGCCTGTGTGACTGTCTTGACCAGAAGTCGAAGTCAAGAGACTAAAAATAATTTCCTCTTAGTGAATTCTGACCCTAATTATTATTATCCCTTGTTTTGTTGGGTAAGGGAACTGTTAAATGTTATTAGCAATGGTATTTTTATATTATATTTGTGGTTAAAACTTGGAACAACACCCTCAGGAGAATCTTGGTGTGCTGCTAAGTAATTTTGAGATGTTGCAATACATACTATGGGTTTTTAGCTGCTGTTGCTATAGGACTAGGCTGAAGTGTTGGTGGCCTTCAAGTCATATTTTTGAAAGACCGTTTTTCGCCTTCAAACTGGTAAATGAAAACTGAAGACTAGTTACAGCCCTTACAGTAATTACTAGTTACAGTAATCCCTTTCAGCCTTTACCCTGTGCATCTGCTCGAAGAAGTAACCTCTGTGTGCCAGACCAGGGTTCTGTCTGGCCCGGTGTGGTGTCTCAGCAGCGGAAGTGGTGAATGCGTAGGGTGGGTAACAACAGATCAAGTGTGTGGGTGGTGGTGTCTCCTTAGAAGGCTCTTGTACCTTTGGCAGTTTGTGACTGATATGTTTGAGTCTGCCGTTTGATAGCTCTGGTTGAGGCCTGAGGGTTCTTACGTTATAACAACCCTCTTGTGCTCTCTCAGTGTCGCTCTTGAATTTGTACACCTCTCTCATGTCCCGCCTGCCTCTGTTGTTTCTGTTTCAAACTGAAGAGTCATATTTCTTTTAGTTGCTTGTTGCCGGAAAGCTCTTTTGTACCTTATGTCATCTTTGTTGTCCTTGACTTTTCCAGTTTCTCGAGGAGGGAGGAGCAGGTGGAACCGCTCACAGTATTCACTGTGGATTTATCTAAAAAAGTAGGATGTTGTGGGTTTTGTTTCATATTGCTCCCAAAAATAATGCCTAATTGTTTTACCTTTTCCTTACACATACATTTTCAGAAGCTATGTAAGAAGAATAGCTCGATCCTAAATAATTAATGGTCAGCTTGGAGCCGATTTCCGTATGTATGTATTTAGGACAGATTTTTTTGTATTTTCCGTCAGTGTGAATTGTTCTCATCTCCCTACAGTGAATTCAGTCTGCTGCTTTTGACACCTTGTCCTGGGTTACAGTGTAAAATGTG